ACTGCGCCCCGCCCCAGTGAGAACAACTTTTATCCAAAAGTCCCAAAACAACAAATGCTGGCATGGATGTGGAGAGATAGTAACACTCTTACACTGCTGGTGGGACTGCAAATTAGTACAACCTCTGTGGAAAGTAATTATCTCAAAGAACTTAAAATAGAAATACCATTTGATTCATATCCCACTACCAGGCATCTACCCAAAGGAAGAAAATATATTTTACAATAAAGACATCTGCACTTGAATGCTTATGGCAACACAATTCACAGTTGCAAAGTTGTGGAAACAGCCTAAGTACCCATCAATACATGAGTGGATTAATAAAATGTGGTATATGTATACCATGGAGTACTACTCAACCATAAAAACAATGGTGAAGTAACACTTCTTATATTCTCCTGGGTGTAGCTAGAGCCCATCCTTTGAAGTGAAATATCACAAGAATGGGAAAACGAGCACCACATGCACTTGCCATCAAATTGATACTAACTGATCAACACTTAGGTGCTCACATGGAAGTAATATTCATCAGGTGCCGGGTGGGTGGAAGGGGGGTGGTGGCGATGGGTAAACTCATAACTAATGGATGCAGAGTACACTGTATGAGGATGGGCACGCTTGTAGCTCTGGCTTGGGCCATGCAAAGGCATTATATGTAACCAAAATGTTTGTACCCCCACAATATTCTGAAATTTAAAAATAAATAAATAATTTGGAAAAAAATAAATGTTTTGCTTAGATTCCTTAGTTTCTCAAAACCATATTTTTGCCAAGAGAATTTCTTGTGCAAATAATCACACTTCAAGGTGACCGCCTTTCAGTTTTCCCCCAGTTTTGCCTCTCTTTTGATGATCTTTGCTTTCATTAGAGAAAATAATTCATTTCACAATCCCCTTAGAGAAAATGTAATAACCGCAGCATAAATGTTAGCTACAGTTATTTGTTTAGTTAGCTACATTTACAGTTAGCTTCTATTACAATAATAATAGAATAAATGTTAGCTATTTTCCAGGAGCCTAAACACAAGATGCATCTAAATAATGAAATTGTTCTAAAGGGAAATTTGAAATGGTGGTCCTTAAAAAACATCATCCTATTGTAATAATTAAATAAGTATTCTCTCTAATATCTGACAGATAGTCATTGTGATTTACTTGGCTGCAAATGACTAAATGGCTGATTATTATGTACTGCTATGTATAGCCACCCGATGTCTAAGCCTGCTTCTTGTGATAATAGTACCCTGCTTTTCATCTGTGGATCTCCTTCTCTCAGGCCATGTGGTTCCTATGAAGTTACCACCCCATCTCTCCCTCCATCCAGGAGTGGAACACATGACCTAGACTAAGCCAATCAGTGAATTCCATGTATCCCTTTCATGACAATGATTATATGACAATGATTATAATTACAGAGATTACAGTGATCCGTTCAAAGTGTGCACCAGATCCGAGAAAGGCTAATCAAGGCCAGCAAGACTTAATTTTGGAACTCTTCTTTAAGCTAACATTTAAGTGTGCTTTTTTCTCTTTTGTGTTAGATTTAGTATTGTATTGACGTAAGGGCTACCATATGGAGCGTAAAGAATGAATATAGCCCAAACGGTGGAAGACACAGAAGAGAAACAGTGAAAATACAAACAGTGGGCATCATTTGAATCCTGAAGCCAGGTATAAATGAAAGCCAGCCCCACACCAGCTGTTTTAAAATTAACATGCATCCCACTGCTTCCCTTGACTAACCTAAAAATATATAAATAAATAAACTAAATAGGCAGTAAAATTGACTTCATTTTTGGTATACAGTTCTATGGGTATTAACATAGGTATAGATTTGTGAAAGGAGCCCCACAATCAGAATATAGACCGGTTCCATGCTCTCTCTGAAAATATTTCTCTCCTAATCCCTTTGTAGTCATATTTACTAACCCACCCCTTAACCCTGATAACCACTGATCTGTGCTCTATCACTGTAGTTTTATCTTTTTAAGAATGTCAAATCAGTAGAATCACATAGTGTGTAACTTTCTGAGACCAGGTTCTTTCATTCAACATAATGCTCTTGAGATTTGTGCAAATATTTAGGGATTTTTCCTTGGAGTTTGCAATGCTTCTATTATTAATTTCTAATATAATTCCATTATGGTCAGAGAATATAATTGTAACATTTCAATCCATTTGAGATTTATTTTATGGCCTACCACATGGCCTATGTTTTCTTGATAGTGTCCATCCTAATGGGTATGAACTGATATCTCATTGTAGTTTTGATTTGGATTTCTCTAATGATTAGTGATATTGAGCATCTTTTCATATGCTTGTTGGCCATTTGTATATCTTATTTTGAGAAATATCTATTCATGTCCTTTGCTCATTTGTAAAATGGTGTTACTTGTTTTGTGGCTGTTGAGTTGTAAGGGTTTTTTATGTATTCAGATATGAACCCCTTATCGGACATGTGATTTGCAATTATTTTCTCCCAATCCATAGGTTGCCTTTTCACTGTGTTATTTCCTTTAATATACAGAAGTTTTTTAGTTTGATATCATCTCATTTGTCCATTTTTTCTTTTGTTACTAAAATCTTTTTGAAGGCATTGGAGACACAGGACAGCAAGGATGTGAGGAATTAAAATTCAGGAGAGAAGGTCAAGAAAGTTGAGCCTGACATTTGGCACCATATGTCACTTCAAGGCATTTGCTGATTTGTAAGTGGCAGCTGAGAATCTAAGAGGCTTAGTAGCAGAAAGTAGTATAGCTGAGAGGTTGAAAAGCTGAGCAAAAATTTGGCAGGCCCTGCCAAGCACCTCTGCAAAGTCATGCCCTAGGATTAAAGCAATGCAGAAATAGACCAGGCCTCACAAAGACAAACCCAGCTTCAAATCAGAACAGTCCTAGACTGGGTTAATTGGCCCCAGCTCTAATGGTCTTCCAGAAGAAATAGTTATTCCCTCTACAGGAAAATTGCATCATTATCTCTAAAATTTTTTCATAATAAAGGCCAACACACACTGAAAAATATTATTGGACATAAGGAAATAAGACCAAATGATGGAAAACCAAGAGAAGAAACAAAACAAAATAGAATACCACTAGACAATAGAAAAGAGACCCACAAGTAATCCAGATATCAGAAGACTCCAGGGTTCTTGATTTCCTATATTCACCTTAAATACTTTCTGAGTGCTTAATGTGTATCACGGACTGTGCAATGTGGGAATAAATCATGGTCCCTGATATCAAAGAATTTGTGGCTTGTGCTAGGCTGAATAATAGGTGTTGAAATATGTTCATGTCCTAATCTCTAGAACTTTTGATTATATCACCTTACATGTTTAAGAGCCTTTGAAGATGTGATTATGGTAAGGATTTTGAGATAGGGAGATAATCCTGGATTATCTGGGTGAGTTCAATGTAACCACAAAGGTCCTTATATTTTATAGATGAGGAAATTAAGGCAGAGGTCACATGGCTAGTAAGTGGCAGCGCCAGGACTTGGACATAGGCAATTTGGCAGTCGGAATTGTACTTTTGGTTATTCCATGACTCTGCCTCTTGCTACAATAGATTAGTGTATTTGCAGATTCAAATTGCTATGCCTTGTATGTAATTAATTTATCACAAATGAGTTTTTGGGAGATTAATTATAGTGATTGTTGTAAATGTGAAGAATACAGCAAAGCCAAACTCATGATCACACAGAAAGTAAAGAGAAAAAAAATTTGCTAGTCATTAAGCACTAATGATGCCTGATATTTTCTAAAATGCCCTCTAAGACCGCAAGTACCATAGGAGCAGGGATCCATCTTTCTTGTCCCTTTTATAGTCTCTACATTTAGCACGCTGCCTGGTACCTAGTGGACACTCAATAAATATTTGACCTAATGTAGACCCAATGGCCTCAGAAGAACGCTCTTCATGAGACCTTTTAACTAAATTGATTAGTTATTTTTGGTACTTTTAAAAATTATACAAGTAAAACCTCAATAAATTCTCATTGTTAAAGATTCAAAGCACATAACTAGACACACCAGAATTTGAAAATCCACCTTCTACTCAGCAACACACACTCTTTCCCAGGTAGCCACTGTCTTGTTTAATGTGATTTTTCTTCCTATGCATTTACATATATGCTCATATACATGTTTATATAACTTAAACATATAAATGTAACCACAAATACACATTATTCTGCAACTGCCTCCTGTCGGTTTCTCCTGCCGTTATAAATCTATTTCTTTTAGCACCTCGCTAGTAACTAATAGGCATGGGTGTATGGAGCCTCATGTAAATTATTCCCTTTTGACGGACATGTAGATCGTTTCCTATTAGTACTTATTAAAAAGCCACATTGCAACGAACATTCCTGTGCAAAAGTCTGTATACATGCAGAATTTTACACGGATCCCTATTTTCGGAAAAGCCAGGCAAACAGGTGGGAGCATTTCACAACGCGCTGCTTCCTCCCGCCCGGCCTTTATAAAAGGACCGGGTGGAAAGGCGGTGAGTGCAAAGTAAGCGGAGTCGTAAGATTCTCTGTTAGGGTGTTCGCAGAGTAACTCCTCCTCTCCAACAGCTGTCTTTGCTCAAAAACAATCCGCACGGGACGTGCAGGGGAGCGGCAGGCACCCCGACGGTGGCGGCACGGGGGGAATTGGCAATGCCGGCTTCTAGGAAGGAGCGCCTGGACAGCGTCGTCCCCGCGGACCATGCCGTCCTGTTAAGCCCCTACCCCATCATTCTGCCCTTTTTAGGTTACTCTCTCAGGTACTAAAAATCGCCTCCAGACAGCACGGAGAAACTGAGGCGCCGATATGGCATGAGAAGATCAGTGAACGGTGGCAAAGCCCAATCCGGTGGGAGAACATCCGTGGGGACCGCGGCCGCCATGGCTGCCGCGTTCGACCACCGCGAAGGACTCGCTTTCCCAGCGGCCCCCGCGGCCTCAGGGGCAACGAGCCCGGCTTGCCCTCGCGAGCGGGGGGCGGGGCCGGGGCCGGAAGTCACGTGCGGCGGCATCCGCTGGGGTGAGGCTGCCGTCGCTGCACTGGCTGATTGGGACTGTGTCTGTGGGAGGCGCCGGGGTGATGGCGGTGGAGACTCTGTCCCCCGACTGGGAGTTTGACCGCGTTGACGACGGCTCGCAGAGTAAGGGAGCGTCAGGGCGAGGGCTGCGGATGGACGCGCCCCGGCCCGCCTCAGCCCCGGGAGCGCTTCTGCGGGAGGGACGGCCGCGCAGCGCTCTTGTTCGGGACGCTTCGTACCCCTTGGGGTGTGAGAGGGACGCGTTCTCCAGCGTTACTTTCGGGGTTGGGGTCCCAGCAATGGCGAGTCAAGCTGGCCTGGTCAGGGCTCGGCGTGGAGGGTGGTGGCTCTCCCGGTGAGCCCGAGGTGCCCCTGAGGGGAGTGGCGTCCGCTTTCTGCTCCTCGGGGGCACGGGCGGGGCGCGCCGGGGAGGCCCAGCAGCTCTGGGGGGCCCAGGCTGCTCCTGTCTCGGGCCTCTTGGGGTTTTCGCCAGATTCTCAGAGCGTTCAGTTCTAGAAGAGGCTGATGTCTGGGGTTCCTGTTTCGGTTTCCTGTTTTTCTTCTTTTCCTCTCAAACCAACTTTTGGAAGTTTTGTTGCTTTTTTTTTTTATTCCAAATCATATTCTTATAACCGAAGTGGGTAGCGAGAAAAGAACTCTACGAACACGGCAAAAAATGAACACATGAACCTCATTTTGTCCCCTTCCAGGCCTTTTATTTACGTGAAGTGGTATTTTTCAGTGATGTCCTGTAGTTTCCATTGCAGCTACAAAGGTTTAAGAAATTACAGCTAGTCTGCTTCAAATTTCGCTTCATAAAATGGAATTGTCTGATTTTAACTTAGAATTCCAACCACAAAAAGTAACAAATTCACTTTCTTTCAACAAAATGTGAACGCTAAGCTAGTTATTTTAGTGAAACTTAACTTGGAATTAATACAAGTAGACAATCTGTTTTTAATCTTTGGTGATATTAATCTGTATATGTGGTGCAAGAGATACGGGGGCATGCTATTTGTGAATTTTTTTTTCTGCAGAGTTTTCTCAAAAAGTGGAATGTCATTTTAAAAAAATTCTGGACGAATTTTGGTTGGTTTTACGAAGAGACTAATGTCTACAAACATAGATATAATTAGGTTTTATTAGCCTCTCAAAGGAGAATCAGTTATGTCAGGATGGTGTGCAGTTTTTTACAAGACATTCCGTGAGATAGTAGCTCTTATGCAGCATAAAAATTAATCTTGGAAGTAATGACAAAACCTTTACTTTTTTTGTAGAGAGGATTCTGTATTTACTGTTACAAAGTGAACTCTACCTTGTCATGTATGATGTTTTATGGACAAAGGTCCCTTACTCTTTGAAAAATTGAAACGAACATGTTATTGGATTTGAAAATGGTTCAGTTTAGAATGGAATGATCTGATTCACTCAACAGGCATTTTCTACACATCAGTGGCTGTGCTAGGTATTAGGGATGCAAACAAAGATAAGACAAGGAATGTGGTCTGTTGGAAAATTTCAGTATAAGCATGTAAATAGGGTTTTGGAATTTTACTATTGAAGAATCACCATGTAGTACTTATCTCAAAGCTTTCTATTTTAACTTTTACTGTTAATAATTTTGCAACTATTAATTATGTTTTAGCAAGGAACTTTTAAGTATTTTTTTGAGATAAAGTTTCACTTTGTTGCTCAGGCTTTGCTTGAACTTCTGGGCTCAAGCAGTCCTCCCAAGTAGCTGGGATTACAAGTATGCACCATGGTGCCTGGCTTTCAGCAAGGAATTTTTAATGTTATTACAGTTTTTCGGTTGCCTCCTTCCTCCTGAATCCTTAAATAGACTAAACGAATAGGTTTATTTACATGTTTCTCTAGCGTTGTCTTTTAGAACTTGTTTTCTGGTCAAATGCAGCTTTAACTGGTCATTCCTTATGTAATTGAGAATAAGACATCTACTTGGGGTTCTGAGAATCTGTGCAGTTTTAATATGTATGCTGTAGGGAAGAGAACACTTTTTATCTCTTCTCTGTGCCTGGTTTTCATTAATTTTTTTTTAACAGAGACACTGTTCTTGCATTCATTAATTTTTGGACTATGAATCATATCTAGACTAATTATTTTCCAAAATTGCCTAGATAATGCTATAATGAGATAGGAACCTTAATGAACTAAATTGATCCACCTGAGCATTATGTAGTTGCAAAATGGGGGATAAGGGAGCTAGTTCTTTATACTTTAATACAGCATGAGTCAGAATACACTTTATCTTAGTTGCTTCAAATTGCTAATTTGAGAACAGAAAATTTTTACCTTTTTTAGAAGGCAGAGATTGAATAAAGTTATTCACATCAATAGTAGAAACTGAGTTCTAGTTGAATTTGATACCTTTGGGAATAATGAATTTTTATGAATAAGGTGAAATATTTACTTTCATTAATTTTGGAAAATAGGCATTTTTTAAATCCAGTTTATTCCAGTGACTCCTTAAAGTCATCCGTTAATATGTAAATTCTGTAAATATCAGTATAATATTCTGTATCAACCATTGTTGTTTACTGATGTTTCCTACTCAATTATGATAGTTAAATAATTTAACAAAATATTTTGGTTACATTCTAGGTATAATATTCATTATACTGAAGCAGGTCTAAAACCTCCATTTTTTTTTGAGACAGAGTCTCACTGTGTTGCCCGGGCTAGAGTACCATGGCATCAGCCTAGCTCATAGCAACCTCAAATTCCCAGGCTCAAGTGATCCTTCTGCCTCAGCCTCCCAAATAGCTGGGACCACAGGCATGCGCCACCATGCCTGGCTAATTTTTTCTATATATTTTTAGTTGTCCAATTAATGTCTATTTTTAGTAGAGACAGGGGTCTCACTCTTGCTCAGGCTGATTTCGAACTCCTGACCTTGAGCAATCCGCCCGCCTTGGCCTCCCAGAGTGCTAGGATTACAGGCGTGAGCCACAATGCCCGGCCTAAAACCTCCATTTTAAAGATATTTATGTGTATTTAAGTATTAGTTTAGTGTGTATAGAATTAAAAATTACACTTTTAAAAAAAATTTTAGAGACAGGGCCTCTCTCCATCACCCAGGCTGGAGTACATAGCTCACTGCAGATTTGAACTCCTGAGCTCAAGCAGTCCTCCTGCCTCAGCCTCCCAGGTAGCTAAGACTACAGGCACATACTACCACATCTGGCTAATTTTTTTTTTTAATTTTTTTTTTGTGAAGAGATGAGTCTCACTATGTTGCCCAGGCTGGTCTTGAACTGCGGGCCTCAAGTGATCCTCCTGCCTTGGCCTCCCAGAGTGCTGGGATTATAGGCATGAGCAATGTTGCCCAGCCCAAAATTACAGTTTTGAATATTGCTTCTGTGACACAGACTTTTGCACCTGCTTCAGGTCATGAATATTTCTTTTTGAGAGAGTTGTTGGTGACTAAAACATAGAATCAAGACATTGAGAGTTATCTAAGGCATTATTCAGATTGGTTAAAAGCCCTTGATTATGGGGTATATAGACTAGTGACTTTTTCATAATACTTTAAAGTATTAAGATGATATCTTTGTATATGGTAACATCTAATGTTAAAATGGTAACATTTTAAAATTATTTCATGTATATGGAGAAGATTGAAAGCTGAATTATTGTTTAACTTTGGAACTTTTATTTTCAAGAAGTTCAGACATTGTAATGATTAACAATGCTTTGCCTGTGAGGTTATTTGAAGTAAATGTCCTGTAATTCATTACTTATCACATACTCTTTTAAAATTTAAACTTAGAAATTCATGCTGAAGTTCAACTTAAGAATTATGGGAGATTTCTTGAGGAGTATACGTCTCAGTTGAGAAGAATTGAGGACGCACTGGATGACTCAATTGGAGATGTTTGGGATTTCAATCTTGATCCTATAGCATTAAAGGTTTGATTTTATTTTTAAATTTATGTATATATTTTCAGGACATACTGTATCTTGAAAACATCAGTTTTTAAAATGAAAAATGTATTTTTATTTGAAATCTGAGAATGAAAAGAAACTTGGAAAATTATTGATTTCCTTTTTTCTTAGCCATGCTGGTGTTTTTAAAATTAAAAGAGAAAAAAAATCTTTTTTTTTTTTTTTTTTTTTTTTTTTTAAGAATGACACAAACACAAAGCCTTTAGTGTCAAGGAATGGTGTAAACTGCACCTCTTTCCGCTAGCCTTTTTTGTTTTTCATCAAGAAAATGAAGCAGGCTGGATAGAATATTCAAGTTTTATGTTTCTTATTGAGGTTATTCTATATGTGGTGAAATGCACGGGTTTTAAGAATACGGTTCAATGAATTTTGCCAAGGACATGTAACTCTTGTTCCAATCAAGATACAGAATATTTTCATCATTACCAAAAAGTTCACTCATGCTGTATAGGGATCTTAATGTGGAAGTAATTTTTAGTGTATAAAATAGTCACTCTTACTGTGTTCCATTTTGAGGTAGTTCTGTCTTGTTTTATCTTTGAAACTCGTCTTTTAGCACTTAAGTAATAATGAATATTTATTGAGCACTTACTGTGTACTAGAAAATGTCCTTAGTTACAGACTTTTTTTTTTTGATTCGGCCAGTGAGTTGTTACTCTTCAGTGGATTCTGACTTCCTGCCCTCAGGATTCTGCCACTGCCCTCAGACTTTTTTTTATAACAGCTTTCTTGAGCTACATTTCACGTATCATACAATTCCTCCATTTAAATTGTATACTTCAGTGGTTTTTAGAAGTATATTCATAGAATTGTGTAACCATCACCACAGTCAATTTTAGAATGTTTTCACTACTGCAAAAAATTCCATACCCATTAGTAGTCAGTACCCCTACCCCAGTGCCATGCCACACCATCACCCACCAACCCTAGGCTGTCAGTATGTTTTTTGTCTCTATGGATTTGTCTCTTTTGTAATATGTGGTCCTTTGTGGCTGTCTTATTTCACATAGCATGATATTTTCAAGGCTTATCCATGTTGTCATGAATGTACTTTATTTCTTTTTATTGAATAAATTCCATTGAATGGATATACCACATTTTATCCATTGATCAGTTGATAGATGTGGGCTTTTCCATTTTTTGGCTATTACGAATACTGCTATGAGCTTTTACGTACAAGTTTTTGTGTACATGTTTGGAGATACACCCAGCCACTCACCCAGGAGTGGAATTGCAGAGTCATATTTTAACTGTGTTTAACTTTTCGAGGAACTTCCAGACTGTTTTCCAATGTGCCTGTACCATTTTACATTCCTACCAGCACTGTATGAGGGTTCCAGTTTCTCTGCATTCTTGCCAATACTTATTATCTGCCTCGTGGATGTGATCTCATTGTGGTTTTGATTTGCGTTGTCTGATGGCTAATGATGATGAGTATCTTTTCATTTGCTCATTGCCCATTTGTGTGTCTGGAGAAATGTCTATTCACATCCTTTTCCCATTTTTAAATTTGATTATATTTTCATTATGTGTTGTAGGACAGATATTGACTTTAATTCCTATAGCAATCCTATATAAGGTAGATATAATATCATCTTCATTTGCAAGTGAGAAAACTAAGGAATAGAAAAGTAACTTATTCAAATAAGTGACACATTTAGTTAAATGGCAAATCAATATCAGACAGTTTGGTTTTAGAGCCTGTGTCCTTACCCATTACCCTAAACTGCCTCACTAATGCTTTACATATTTGTAAACCAAAAGTATTTTCCTTTTACTCTTCTTTCTTGCAGGCTGGATAGGCTTAATTTTACTTTAAAAAATTTCCTCCCATTTGTCATTGTCTCTTTTTATTTTTTAATGCTTATGAAAATCACGGTATGTAAGTTATAGGACCTCCACTTGAAAATAACCATTCTCAATGTGTACTAACTCTGAAGGTAATGAGTTTCATATATTTCTCACTTGCCATTAAGCAGCACTTTTTTATTTTTTTAAGACTTGCTCTTGGGCTTTTAAGGCCTCTTCTAGCTTTATCATCATAAAAATCTGTTTGCTCAACTCTCAGATTTTATAAAAGGTGAAATCATCTCTTAGCTTTTATCTTACCCTACAGAAGAGTTCTAATCTTTAAAATTTTATCATCATGTGGAATCTCCCCTCTCCTCAACTGCTTTCTTTGGAACCTTGTTTTAATTTCATTATTGGTTAATTATTTTATTGTGTTTCTACTATACAAGGCTCTTTGCTTAGTATTTTGGGAAATCACAAACTCAGACAAAATCTCTGTAAACAAAAATTACAACCTAATGAGAAAAGGTATATATAACTTACCTATGTAAATACTTAATTGATTAGTATACAACCAAAAGGGAGGTCTAAGATTGCACTTAATAAGATTACTTGTAGATGATGGTCAGAGGGAGAAATTGAGCTGCCCTTAGAAGATAAGTGAATTGCACATTGTATTTTAAGGGTTTCTGAGCCATGAGTTTATACAAGAAAAGATATTTTCTCTTTTCTGTCTTGTTTTGTTCTTTCTTCTTTTTTTTTTTTTTAATTTTTTTTGAGACAGAGTCTCACTTTGTTGCCCATGCTAGAGTGCGTGTCATGGCATCAGCCTAGCTTACAGCAACCTCAAACTCCTGGGCTCAAGCGATCCTCCTGCCTCAGCCTCCTGAGTAGCTGGGACTACACATGCAAGCCACCATGCCCGGCTAATTTTTTGTTTCATTTTTAGTTGACTGGCTAATTTTTTTCTGTTTTTAGTAGAGGCGGGGTCTCACTCTTGCTCAGGCTGATCTTGAACTCCTGAGCTTAAGCAGTCCTCCCGCCTTGGCCTCCCAGAGTGCTAGGATTACAGGCATGAGCCGTCACACCTGGCCATTGTTTTATTCTTTATGATAGCTTATTTGACCCTTTTTAAAATATCTTATTAGATTTGTGCCTACATAGCAAATTCCAAAATGATGAGAGATCTTGTCCATGGTCATAACTAATGGAGCTTAATAATACTGGTATTACCTTATTATCTTGCATTTCTTGCACTGCATTCATTCAGCCACCTTAAATTGTGGAGGACAACCAGAGTCATTGCAACATGATTGTGTGATGTTGAGCCATTTCTTTTTGAGTTTGTGTACTTTTTCTTATGTATTGTCTAATGAGATTGTTTTTGAACAAAGTAGTTGGTAATAGTGCTGAGTACACACTACTTACACAAAGTAGAATAGATCTAGTCTCATTTTATGTATTTAAATTTTCAATGATCTTTCTAATTAAAAAGAAATGTTCTTTTCCTTTGTTTCTGTAGCTTTTGCCTTACGAACAGTCTTCCCTTTTGGAACTCATAAAGACTGAAAACAAGGTACAGAATTCTAAACTTAAAAATATATTTAAAAAAATACTTAAGTTATCTGTTATAATTTATCCTTTATGTTTTTACTTATGAAACTAGGTCTTAAACAAAGTCATCACTGTTTATGCTGCACTTTGTTGTGAAATCAAGAAATTAAAATACGAGGTAATTATTTGTGTTTTTTGCCTAAAACTTTTTATTTATTTATTTATTTTTTCTAAGAAGCAGTGACAGATGCCTAAAAGTTTAAAAACTATTAAAAGTAAATATATGCTTATATATGTATAGTGTGCAATAAATATTTATTACATGTTGAATTAATCATTTATTTAAAGTAACAGTAATACTAATGACTACCATTCATTTAGTGCTTGCTGTGTGCCAAATACCATGCACTGAATCCTTATGGCACAACCCAGGGAGTTAAGCGAGGAATAGATAAGGAAACTGAGGTTTAAATAAGATGTCAGGGCAGTGGTGGCTCATGCCTGTAATCCTAGCCCTCTGGAAAGCCGAGGTGGGAGGATCTCTCGAGGTCAGGAGTTCGAGACTAGCCTGAGCAAGAGGGAGACCCTGTCTCTACTAAAAAATAGAAAGAAATTAGTAGGACAACTAAAATGTATAGAAAAAAAATTAGCGGGACATGGTGGCGCACACCTGTAGTCCCAGCTACTCGGGAGACTGAGGCAGAAGGATCACTTGAGCTCAGGAGTTTGAGGTTGCTGTGAGCTAGGCTGATGCCACAGCACTCTAGCCTGGGCAACAAAGTGAGACTATCTCAAGAAAAAAAAAAAAAGATTAATAAATAGGATGTCACTTGCCTACCATGTTACTGCTTTTAGCAGTTTGAATCTAGGTTTGCAAACTTCTGAAATCTGTGTTATCTGCCATATATACTGGTTATCTAGATAAAACTGATTTTTTAAAAAAGCTTTGAATTTTTAATTTGCATTTAGTTTTGTGTTTCCCAGCCGTTATAACTCTGGTAGGAGCTGTTAAACTTCTTTTTTTTTCCCTCTCCCTTTTTGATACTATGTGGTTGCTCTTTATCTCTCATGAACTAATTGGAGGATGTGGGACTATGAGAGTGTTCAGATAAGACAAAGCAAAGACTAAAGAAATCAAGAGACAGCTTTGTGTATGAGTACTATTTTTGTTACTCTAAAGATAAATTTACTTGTAAGCAGTTTTTGAATTTAAATGTGTTTGCATATAAATGATATAGTGTTCTATTAATTATTAAATAGAACTAGGAGAGCCCAGGAATTTGAAAACAAAATAACCTTTAACATTATTTTAATTATTTTTTTACAATAGGCTGAAACCAAATTTTACAATGGTCTCTTGTTTTATGGAGAAGGAGGTAAGTTTTAAAATTTAAAATTGTGTTGATGCCTTTTTTGAGATTGAAATGAACAAAAAGTTAACAGATAATTTTAGGACTACGGTGATTATATAATGTATTAGTGTGGGAAAATAAACATTCAAATGTTGGTTTATTTGTTTGTTTGGTAAATAAGTAAAAAACCCTGAGTGATGAAATACTAGCAAATTCTGTAAAATCGATTTGTGATATTTTTATAAGTTACAAAGCATGGAAGGTAGATGAAAATTTTCTGTTAATTTGTTAAATAGCGAAGCAGATGATTACTTTTAATTATGTGATTAATGATTTTCATTTTTATCTTCAGTGTAAAATTCTGTATTTTCAATACTATGCAGATTAAAAGATGTCCTAATGAAAAGAATCACTTTTTTCTTTTTTTGGTGTTAAGTTTAAGTTGAGAAATTGAAATATGATTCTTGATGTTGTCTTTTAAAGCTACAGATTCCAGCATGGTGGAAGGCGAATGCCAAATTCAAATGGGGAGATTTATTTCATTTTTACAGGTAACTGATTTTTGCTTTCCACTGAGCTTTTTCTTTGAAAAATTTGAGTTAATTATACATAGTTTTAAAAAGTTCTGAAACCTTCAAATACCAAAGATGTATAATCTGACAGTAAAACACTTAATTAGTGTCATACTTAAGAGATCATAACTCCTGAAAGATATCTAAGCATTTTTAGGGGACTAAGTTACCAAAATAAGTTTTTTTGTATATTTTCATTTCTGGACAATTTATCACCAGGACTTTTAAAAGAATTTAAACTTTGTACCCAGTGGGAAAAGATAAATTATTTTAGGAGAAGTTGTTAATGGAAAAGATTAAGCTGTTACTTGAGCAACAGCTCAAAGTAACAGCTCAACAGCTCAGCTTTTAACCTAATGAAAAGGTTAAAAGCAGTAGCACTTGATGCTTCTAACAGCATGTTTCAATTTAGATAAGCTTTCCTTCCCTGCAAAGTTTTAGCAGTTCTAGGTCTCTTGGTTTACTTTTATAAAAGAATGAAATAACTTCTTTCTTCCCTTCTCCTTTATAAAAACAATGCCTATACAATGTAAAAAGAGCAAACATTGGAGATAAGGAAAAAAATACCCATAGTCCCATCTCCCTTCTGATTATTGGGTATAAGATTTGATCTGTTTCATCAAATCAGGCATGCTAAGATATTGTTTGAAGATAATCAAATGGTACCATTTTAACATGGGAATTCATGCTAAATGATAGATTTTAGCTGCTTTTCCCACAAAAATGAACAGGGTAACCATGTTAAATGGCTTCACTCTAGTAACCTTTTTATTATCTCTTTGTATCCTATAACATGTTGTATACCTTAAATATATACAATAGAATTTATTTAAATTAAGAAAAAGAGGGGATTTAATATAGAGAATTGGTTATACAGGAGTTGGAGGACTGAAAAAACAAAAAGAACAGTGAGATAGTCCAGAGGGAACAGATACCATCTCTACATCCAAGGAGCAAAAGGGAAAAGATTGGGGTTGCCAGAATTTGGGAGCTTGGGGAAAAAACCCGTTATATTGGTGCTCATACTCCGAAGGAGGTGGCTCTACCTAGCTGCTGCTGGCTTGCTGTCCAGCAAGGTATCTAAAATATGTAATTTGCAGAGTCTCAGTAAATGGGCAAATTTTGTATTTTGAAGATATTTTATTCAGTGCATACAAGTTTAGAATTGTTAGTCATTCCTAATAAATTGAATCTTTTATCATTATGTGGTGACCCTCTTAAGCTATGATTATACTTCTGTATATAATTATGTAAATACATGTTACATATCTTACTAGATATGTAACTCACTGCAAATATGAACTCACTGTAGTAATGCTGACAAAGTCTATTTTGTCTGATAGTAATAATGCTACCCTAGCTCTGTTTTAGTTAACATTTTCTTGATTTATCTTTTCCCATTGTTTCAGACTTTCCATTGTTTATTTTTCCATTGCTTATTTAAATCTATATATATCTGGATTTTGCTTTTTTTTTTATGTAATCTGACAATCTGTGTTTTAGTTGACTAATTCTATTTCTGTGTATCTCTTATATAGTCTATTTATATATCTGGGCTTGTTTCTGCCTTTTTAGTTTGTGCTTTCTATTTGTCCTGCCTTTTCTGTTCTTTTCTCTGCTTTTATTAAACTTTTAGAAGTTTAATAAGAAATGTAAAACTAGAGCTGTTTAAAATTAAAGTTATTTATTTTCATTTTCAAAAACTTTTGTTTTAGGATTTCACAGCTGCATAAAAATTATATTTTTAAACATTCAACAAATATTGCCAGTTGCAGTAGCTCATACCTATAATCCCAGCACTTTGGATTGCTTGGGACCAGGAGTTTGAGACCAGCCTGGGCAACTTAGCGAGACCCCATATCTACAGAAAAAAAATTTAAGAATTAGCTAGGCATGGTGGCATATGCCTGTAGTCCTACCTACTGGGGTGGCTGGTTGCGCCACTGCACTCTAGCCTGGGCAACAGAGTGAGAGCATGTCTTTTTTTAAAAAAAAAATCAACAAATATGTTTGTGAGCCTAGTATATGTTAGAAACTCTTCTTGGTGCTGGGAATACAGTGGTACACTAACAGAAATTCCTGCCCTCATAGAGCTTAAAATTTAGAACAGTAGTAGATTTAATTAGATTTTAAATACATTGGATACAAACTGTTTCTATAAGTTTAAAAGTTGCAGAAGTTTCAGAAGTTCTGGGACATACATGGTATATGTAAGTTAGTTATTATTTAATGACAAACATGTCCCTACCATAATTCTTTACTTGCTGTATGCCAAGCCTCCTTATAGTTATGATTACAGATGATATATGTTTAAAGTTATTTTAGAGCGACTTCTGGAAATCCCTTCCTCTCATTGTCATACTTTCTAAACTGGCAGCTTTTGAGCTGCTTCATTCATTCAGATGTTCATTCATTTATTCATTTAATAGGGCAGAAATTTATTGAGGCACCATTGAATGTTAGCCACCATGCTAGGCAGTGGGTATTCAAAGAAAGAATGAGACAGCCCCTGTCATTTCAGAGTTATGTAAAATAACTAAAACACTGGACTTAAAATAGAAGTAGGAATGAAATGCAGTAGGAGTGAAGAGATAGCCGTGACCCTGGGATGCAGGAGGTGAGTGAAGTATTGATTGCTTAAGGGATGTTTGAAGTTGTTTGGCTGCTGATCAGTTGGAATTTTTACCTTACTGGAAAACTGTTTTTGTTAGAGTTGTTACCATAAAATTCAGTCAAAAGTGGTGACATTAAAAGCAACTTTGTAACATATACTTAACTTGTCATTTCAGGAACTATCTTGTTTTGTTACGAGGTGCTATGAAGTGGTGATGAATGTAGTCCATCAATTGGCTGCCCTGTATATCAGTAACAAGTAATGGATTTAGAAATATTTTTGCTTTTCTAATGGAGTTGCAGGAAATGTTTTTCTAAAATTAATTACATGAAATAGCTTTTTGTTCACTGATTCATTCAGCATTCTTTGAGCAGTCATAATGTTTCAAATACTACCTGATGTATGTACTACATAAGTTAATAACTTACAATATCTGCCATGGTGAATGAACTAATTATCTGTCTGAAGGAGAATATTGACAGAAAAATCTTAAAGAAGTTTGACCATATAGAAAAAAAGGCTAATATGAAATTTGTATACATACCATGTTCTCTCTCATCCCTTTTCTTTTCTAATGGTTCTCTGACTCATCACATGGGACTTTTCTTAAAATACAAAATCTTGACCGATGGAGCTAGGGAATCTACATTGAAAAAATTTTGTGATTCTAATGACCCTAAATACACAATAAAATATATTTTAAAAAAGAGGAGATTTAATATAGAGAATTGGTTATATAGGAGCTGGATGGTTGAAAGGACAAAGAAAACGGTGACTTAGTCCAGAGGAAACAGGCACCACCTCTACATTGAAAGAACAAAAGGGAAAAGATTGCAAGTTGCCAGAAACTGGGAGGTTGGAAAGGGAGCCCCATGGAATTGGTGCTTATACTTTTGAGGAGGTGGTACTGTCTGGCTGTTGTTGGACCACTACCCTGAAACAGTAAAATTGGTTAACTTTTCATAGAGCCCTTGCTATTCTTACCACAATGTCTCACGTCTGATTCTTTATACTTAAAATTTTTTGGCCGGGCGCTGTGGCTCACACCTGTAATCCTAGCTCTGGGAGGCGAGCGGGCGGATTGCTCAAGGCAGGAGTTCAAAACCAGCTGAGCAGAGCGAGGACCCCGTTCTACTATAGATAGAAAGAAATTAATTGCCAACGGTGAATATAATATATATAAAAATTAGCGGGCATGGTGGCGCAGCCTGTTAGTCGCAGCTACCCGGGAGCGCTGAGGCAGAAGGCCTCGAGCCCAGGAGTTGAGGTTCTGAGCTAGGCGACCCAGTTCAGGCACTCACTCCCTAGCTGGGCACAAACGTGAGACTCTGTCCTCAAAAAAAAAAAAAATTTTTTCCACATTATTAATATAACTATAGAAGCTTAGTTTGTATTGACTAGAGTTATTGGTGATGAGAAAGAGTAATTCCAGTGGATATTTGCCAAGATTCCTAGCAGTTTCAGCACACTCTCTTTTGATCACCAAGTCACTTCATGTATTATTATACCATGCTGACCTTATTAACCTCTTGATAAATTGGAGGCTATGTAGTTATTTTCATTCTCCAAATGTACCAGCGCTATTAATTATAGTCCTGTCTTCCATTGAAGCTCTCCTCATTACAGGAGAGAATGAGAAGCAAAGTTCCCTGCCCCCTGAAGTACCTGGTGTGTAAGGCTCCCATTCCTACCCTAGAAGGATGACAATTTATTGAATTGTGTTTCAATTTAAATATGTATCTATCTTATGGTATATCTATATGTGCTTGATATACAAGTGCTATTTAAAGTTTTGTTCAGAAATTGATTATCTGGGAAGTATAATGATTTTATTTTTATTTTTTTATTTTAGTGTATTAGGGGTACAAGTGTTAAGGATAATTGATTTTTATGTGCTTTTGAACTTTAGTATAATCCTAGTAGTATGCTTATTTTTCAGTAGTGATGAGAACTCAGAAATAAACTGACTAAAGAGAGGACTAGTTCCCAAAGGCTAGTTTGGGTAGGATAACAAAGATCTCATTGAGATAATTGAGAATTTTAATAGTTGGAAAGAGATGAATATCAGTATTATTACTCTAACTTCATCCCATGGTAGATCTTTTAGTATTAATGGCTAAGGTTATTCATGGGCCACTTATCATCATATTTCTACTCCATGAGATATAGGCAAAGGTAGCCTCAGATTCTGTTATGTAAACAAGATAGTTCCTTCTTGGGAAAAGTGAAAATGGTAGTAATTCCTTGGATCTTTTAAATTTAGTGACTGCAAACCTTAATAAAGATAAATCATATAAAGCTCCAGGAGTTTCTGCTCCTATGTATTTCTTTGAAATAAGAATGAACCGTGACAAAAAGAAAAATGTTTGACATGATATTATTTTATTACAGAATTGCACCAAATTATAGAGACCAACTGGAGTTCCATTTTCAGTAAAAGTAATTTCACTTGACCTGTAAACTGATAATTTATTTGTATTTTACATTGGTAAGATGGGAGTACAACAATTATAGCAAGGCTCTTAAAACTAGTCCTTTTTTTTTTTTTTTTTTTTTTTTTTTTTTTTTGCATTTGTTCTCTTTTATTTGTGAAGTTGATGAGGCATTATTGACCCCCTGTTAGTGTGTAACTCTTAGTTTTTTCTGGTAGTGGCCCAATGCAAATTCTGTAAATGGTCTCTTTGAGCAGTGAAATAAATCTGCAATTTCACAATTAAGGAGAAATATTGAGCAAAGTAGTCTTTATTTAAGACCTGTAGTCACATCTAAGGATCAAACATGTAGTTTAATAAACGGACATGCCCACTGTTTTAACTAATTCTGTAATTAGCCCAAATGTATTTTACTTTACAAATCCACATGAGGCTTAACTTCTAACTAGTGACTAAATGATAATCATTAAAGGTTTTTTGACAGACTATGTATGAGCACTTGGGAGAACTGCTAACAGTTTTGCTCACCCTGGATGAAATTATTGATAATCATATCACACTGAAAGACCACTGGACTATGTACAAAAGGTACACTAATTAAACTATTTTTAAATATTCTGTTACTTTGTATGGTTACTGTATTAGTCTTAATAAAAAGCAAATAAATAATGCAGATGTTTTAAAAGACCTGGAAATTGATATTTAGAAGGTGTTCATGTCAGATGGTTTTATGAAGACAATGACTATCCTTTAATTTCAGATGGGTTTGTTGGAGAGTATGATACACCCTTATAAAGCATCCTAATTCATAAAGTAGAACAGAATGTTAATTGGCCTACCTTAGAACTCATTTTTCCCCCCTTGGGTTCTATTCAAGTGACAAGTTTTTTTCCTGAGCTTGGTTTTATTTTATTCCATACTCCAAAGCTTTTTTAAGACAAGGCATTTTATTTTATTCAATTTGTAAGTATTTGCCAAATGTCTAAGTACAGAACACTAGGCATCTGAATTTAAGATGACATAAAAAATAGGAAAATTAAGTATATTAGAGGATTATTCTCAAATTTTCAAATGTGTAGAGCCAACAAGACTTACAAATATAAAATTTTGATTTCTTGGAACATTTTTAATTTAAAAATTACATAGATTTAAGATCTGTCTTTTAATCATCCATAAGGTTACTGAAATCTGTCCATCATAATCCTTCAAAATTTGGAATTCAGGAAGAAAAACTGAAGCCATTTGAAAAGTTCTTGCTGAAGCTAGAAGGGCAGTTACTTGATGGAATGATATTCCAGGTAAGTAGAGTTGTATCAGGCTGTAATGGTTGGGCTTATATTAGGGGTGTCACAGCTCAGAATTATAGTAGGATGCTTTTATAGTACACTATTGAATGTTTTTGTTTAACAAATGTCTTGACTTAAAATGATTATTGGTGTACTAAAGTATAATTATTTCAGTGTCTAGAAGCAAACAAAATTAATAGTGTACTAGTTGTATTTAGAGTGAGAATTTTTTCAATTATGTAAAAGGGTAAAACTAAGATTAAGATCTAAGATCTAAATAATTGTGTTGAGTATAAGCATACCACATTTTATTGTGCTTTGCTTTATTGTGCTTCCCAGATAATTGTGTTTTTTGCAAATTGAAGTTTTGTGGCAACCCTGCCTTGAGCAAGTCTAATCAGTGCGATTTTTCCAACAGCATGTGTTCGTTTTGTGTCTCTGTGTCACATTTTGGTAATTCTCACAATATTTCAAATTTTTTCATTATTATGTCAGGGTGATCTGTGATCAGTGATCTTTGATTGGATGATAGATGATACTATTGTAATTGTTTTGAGGTGCCATGAACTGCACCACATACAAGATAGCAAACTGAATACATGTTGTATGTGTTCTGACTGCCCCGCCAACTGGCCATTGACCCATCTCTCTCTTTGCTCGGGCATCTATTCCCTGAGACACAACAATATTGAAATTAGACCAATTAATAACCCTACAATGGCCTCTAAGTGTTCAAGCCAAAGGAAGAGTTACATCACTTTAAATCAAAAGATGTTACGGTTGATAAAACATAGTGAGGAAGGTATGTCGAAAACTGAAATAGGCTGAAAACTAGAACTCTTGTATGAAACAGTTAGCCAATGTGTGAATGTAAAGGGAAAATTTTGGAGGTAATTAAAAGTACTACTCCAGTGAACACACAAATGATAAGAAAGCAAAATAGCCTTATTGCTGATAGGGAGAAAGTTTTAGAGGACCGGATAGGAGATCAAACCAGGTACAATGTTCACTTAAGCCAAAGCCTAATACAGAGCAAAGCCCTAACTGTCTTCAATTTGAAAGGCTGAGAGAACTGCAGAAGAAAAGTTTGACGCTAGCACAAATTGGTTTATGAGGTTTAAGGAAAGAAGCTATCTCTGTAACATAAAAGTGCAAGGTAAAGCAGCAAGTGCCGACGTAGAAGCTGCAGTAAGTTATCCAGGACCATCTATTAATAGTTAAGATTGTTGATGAAGGTGGCTACACTAAACAACAGATTTCCTGTGTAGATGAAACAGCCTTCTAGCGGAAGAAGGTGCCATCTAGGACTTTCATAACAGAGGAGAAGCCAATGCTTGGCTTCAAAGCTTCAAAGGACAGGCTGACTCTCTTGTTAGGGTTTAATGTAGCTGGTGAATTTTAAGTTGGAGCCAGTGCTTATTTACCATTCTGAAAATCCTAGGGCCCTAATTATGCAAAATCTACTTTGCCTGTGCTCTAAATGGAACAACAAAGCTTGGATGACAGCACATGAATTCACAGCATGGTTTAGTGAATATTTTGAGCTCACTATTGAGACCTCACAAGAAAAGTTCCTTTCAAGATATTGCTGTTAGGACAATGCACCTGGTCACCCAGGAGCTCTGCTGGAGATGTAAAGGATATTAATGGTTTTTTTCACGCCTGCTCCACAACATCCGCTCTGCAGCCCATGGATTGAGAAGTCATTTCAACTTTGAAGTATTATTTAAGAAATGCATTTCATAAGGTAATAGCTGCCATAGACAGTGATTCCTCTGACGGATCTGGGAAAAATAAATTGAAAACCTTCTGGAAAGGATTCACCATTGTAGATGCCATTAGGGACATTTGTGATTCAAGGAGGAGGTCAGAATATCTACATTAGTAGGAGTTTGGAAGAAGTTGATTGCAGCTCTTACGGATGACTTTCAGGGGCTCACAGTAGAGGAAGTTAATTGCAGATTTGGTGGAAATAGCACGAGAACTAGAATTAGAAGTGGAGCCTGAAGTTGTTCTATTTCTGTAATTTCATGTTAAAACTTGAATAAATGAAGAGTTGCTGTTTATGGGTCATCAAAGAAAGTGGTTTCTTGAGTTGCTGCTTATGGATAAGCAGAGAAAGTGGTTTCTTCAGATGCAGTATACTCCTGGTGAAGATGCTGTGAACATTGTTGAAATGACAAGAGAAACTTGGTTGAAAAGCAGTGGTAGAGTTTGAGAGGATTGACTCCAATTTTGAAAGAAATTTTACTGGGGTGTAATGCTATCAAAGAGCATTGCATACCACTAGAGAAATCTTTTGGGAAAAGAAGAGTCAATTGATATGACAAACTTTTTTTTGTC